AAAATAGATTGCAATCAAAATTGGTTGCCTGCAATAAGGGTTTATGTTACATTTCACATAAACCCTTATTCCCGGGACTCAAGAGTTTATTACATAATATATCTCTAATACTGGTTTATTATTATTTGTGTTGTGCAACTTTTTATATCTGGGGATTAATAAAGTTCATGTTAGTACCACTTGAATATCAATACGCAAACCGTAGAAAATCGTTTTTCTTCATTTACTTAAAACTTACTTTTCTAACATAGCCCCTTATTCGAGGGAAGCCTTCAATTTTAACTACAAATTTATTCTACAGGGCGTTTTAGCGTTTCAAAAAACATGTACCATTTCTCATGGAGAGATTAAACTCACTTAAAAATGTGATTTATTTTTTATATCAACATAGGTCCGATTCTGCTTCGTATCCAGGCGTTGCTGCTACAGGGCGTTCAACACTGAATTTTATTTTCGAATTATTATAATTTTCTTCCAAGTGTCTTTAGTAATTCGAATGAAATTTTTAAGGAAAAAGGTAGGTACTACATGTACTACATATTTTAATGCTATACAGGGTGTTTCAAAACAAATGCGAAAAACTTCAGGGGGTGGTTCCTTGTTCAAAATAAAGGGTAGTTTGCTTCATAAACGTTGGGTCAAAAGTCAACCACTAGGGAGATATCGCGGTACAAAGATGGCGGAAAAATAATGTTTTTGTTTTTTATCTTGAAAACGAAAAGAGATAGACTAATGAAGCTTTTCTGGAAGCATTACTGTTATGAAAAACACACTTTCTGGTAATTTTTTCACTTTTTTAAATGAGTGGAAGGGGTTGAAATAAACTACCCCTATCATTCTTTGTTAACGAAAATTTAAAGAAAAATCTTATCAAACACATGCAAAAAAATTAATTTGATAGTTTAGTTTGTTTTAGAAACTTTTTATCTCTTGTATTTTTTGATAAAGTTCACTGATTTGAAATTAAAAAATAAAATGTAAAGCATTACATGTCAGGACAAAAAACATTTTCTGATAAAGAAGGTGGGCTGCTGTAATTTTTTTAGGAAAAAATCTAGTCGGCCGCTGTTACTTTTTAGGATGTTTCTAATATTATTTTATTTGACATTACTCTACCGCAATACGTTATTATCTAGATGATTATTATTATCGTTATTTTCTTTCTAAGATTCTTAATCTAAAAATGTGTTTTGTCCTGACATGTAAAAATTTACATTTTATTTTTAATTTCAAATCGGTGAGTTTTATCAAAAAACACAAGAGATAAAAAAAGTTTCTAAACAAACTAAACTATCCAAATTAATTTTTTCGCATGTGTTTGATAAGATTTTTCTTTAAATTTCGTTAACAAGAATGATAAGGGTAGTTTATTTCAACCCCTTCCACTCTTTTTAAAAAAGTGAAAAAATTACCAGAAAGTCTGTTTTCATAACAGTAATGCTTCCATAAAATTTCATTAGTCTATCTCTTTTCGTTTTCAAGATAAAAAATAAAAACTTTATTTTTCCGCCATCTTTGTACCGCGATATCTCCCTAATGGTTGACTTTTGACCCAACCTTTATAAAGCAAACTCCCCTTTATTTTGAACAAGGAATCACCCCCTGAAGTTTTTCGCATTTGTTTTGAAACACCCTGTATATACACACATACTACATACTGCCATTACCCGCTGACGAGTATTTGACACGCATAAGAAGATGGTCACGCAAGGCGTTTTCTTTCATGAGTTTTTCTGTGACTGAAAAGTCCGATACATGATGTTATCTGTCTACCGCACTCCGGACATTCAAAAATCTCATTGCTTTATTGCCTCTTTACTTTTTGGTTGTCGCTGTTAACTGAGTTTATAATTCTTCTCCATTGAGTTCTATTATGAGCTGCTTCTTTCCACTCATTCTGCATGTTAATCCCCTTTAATTTTTCGAGGAAAATGTCCTTTTAAGTTGTCCACCCGGCCTCCTCTTACCGTCTACAAGCTCACCATAAAACAGAGATTTTAGTATGCCGTTTTCTTGCATTCTGCATACGTGACCAGCCCATCTTAAGCAATATTTTGTAACCATGACTCCAATACTCTCGCAGTTAGCTCATTCAAGGATCTATACCTTTGAGACATGATGGAATCATTTGATTTTTAAGAGTTGTCTAAGGTGTCTCTGTTCAACTTGTTTAATGCGTTCATGTGTCGGCGGTACGGCATCCAGGTTTCGCTCCCATACAACATGGTGGGATTATTATTGTTCGGTACACTGCAAGTTTAGTTTTTGTGCTCAAGTCATGGTTGTAGAAAACCCTGTCTTTTAATTTCCAGAATGCTCCTGAGGCGCAGCTAATCCTGTGCTGAATTTCATAGTTGATATTGGCCTTTTCCGAAATCAAACTGCCGAGGTAATTGAATTCCGCTACATATTCCAATAGTTCTTCTCCGATTTTTATAGCATTGTTGTGATTTTCTGGGGGAGTGTACATGATTTTAGTTTTTTCACTGTTTAGCTTAAGACACAAAACCTCGTATGCCCAGGTATATATGTTCAACATTTCTTGTAATTGCTATAACGTTTTTGCAACTATCACTGGGATATCATTGGAATATTCTTTCTAAAAAACATGCGCACCATTGTTTTTTTTTTCCTGTTAGCAGCATTGTGTAGACCGTTTAATGCCGATTAAAAGTTGTCTTTTGATATTTTGTCGATTTCTAGCTCCTTCGTGAGTTTTTTTTGCGACGCAATTTTATCAATTTGCCTTAATCCAAGTCAAACAGCAACATTAAAATTTTTTAATATTATTAACTTGCGAAAGTGTTGAATAAGTACTCACTGATATCTCATCAAAAAATATGAACAAAATTCCTCTAAACATGTGTGAGGAATTGCATAGTTTTAAAGTTACAGGATGTTAAAACTATTAAAAAATAAGTCTTTTGTAATAATTATCTTAAATACCATTTTTTTCTGTAGCTAGGACAGTAAAATTGGCTATGAAATATATTCTCCTTCTTCTTCCTACTCTATAATAGGCAGTTTGCCTGTTCATTCATCACCTCATGCCTGCGGTTTTTCAATCGATGGTAAGGTTATTACACCATCTTTTTCTTGGCCTTCCCGAACTTCTTCTTCCCAGTGGTAATTTGTCACGAGCTGACTTTACTATTCTTCCCTCGTCCATTCAGCTTATATGTTCGTTCCATTCGCATCTTCTGCTTAATACCCATTCATTAATGCTTTCTACCTTGCATGTTTGCCTTATATTTTTGCTTCGTTCTCTATCTAGCAGCGTTTTACCTGCGGTTTTGCGGAGGATTTTCATCTCGCCTGTTTCCAAGAGTCTTTTTGTTTTTGCTGTATCCGGTCTGATTTCTGCTGTGTAGGTCCATGTTTATTCCACTCGCATCTTCTGCTCACAACCCATTCATTAATGCTATCCACCTTGCATGTTTGCCTTATATTGTCGCATCGTTCTCTATCTAGCATATCTACTTTTACCTGTGATTTTGCGGGGGATTTTCATCTCGCCTGTTTCGAAGAATCTTTTTGTTTTTGCTGTATCTGGTCTGGTTTCTGCTGTGTAGATCATTATGGGTCTGACGTCAGCCTTGTATATTGTTGATTTGAAATCGACACCTAGGTATGTATTTATTTTTCCAAATGGTGTCGTTGAAACATCCAGCCACTCTCATTGCTTTTGTTGTTTGTTGTCTTACCTCTGTTTCGATATAGCCATAACCGGATAACTCTATACCGAGATATTTAAATTTCATTTCTTGCTGCAATATTGTAATCCACGACAATCTTGCATCTGATAGGTATTTTTGATGTTGTCAGGCTCATTGTTTTGGATGCAGAGATTATCATGTTATAAGATTTTGCTACTAGATTGAAGCGATATACTATAGTCTTTGGAGGCCGTCCTCATTTTCTGTGAATAGCACAGCGTCGTCGGCATAACATAGAATTGTCATATTGCGGTTTCCCATTTTGTATCCATTCAAAATGGCGCACTTGTTTGATTATTTCGTCCATGATAATATTAAAAAGAAGTGGGCTTAATGAATCGCCTTATCGTATGCCTTTCTCTACAGGTATTGGTTCAGTAAGATCCCCGTGGATATTAGCTTGGATTTTGTTAGCACTGTATCTATTTTCTATGACTTTAATTAAGTTATAAAGTGAATGTACAACATCTTCTAATTGAAGCCGATCAAATGCTTTCTGCAGGTCTATGAAACACATGTAAGCAGTGTTAAAACACTGTGAAATATCAGTGTTAAAAATTTTAAGACTAAAGAAATAATTTATTAATTTTATTTTAATTAATTGTGATTAATAAAATTGCGGTTATCTCATCGAGGAGATCGAAATCGACAAAATATCACTATACAACTTTTAATCGACTTTAAACAGCCTACACAATTTTGCTACCAAGAGAAAAAAAATCAATGACACACATGTTTATTTAGCAAAATATTCCAGTGATAACCCATATGCACGTCCCTGGTAAATCTGTAGACACTTTTTTTTGCATTAAAATATGTAGCACCTCGTGTAGCACTCATAGCAACTTTCACCCTGAAAATTTCATTTAAATCTCTAAACAGATTTGGAAGAAAAAAATAAATTGAAAAAAAAATGAAGATTTTAACCCCCTATAGCTACAAAACAAAGCAGCTTTCCCCACAAGAGACGACACATGTTTTTGGAACACCCTGTATATTGGTTGCATCTAGTTTTTTAATAGCTACTTAACAATTTGTGTGTTAAACACACATAAAAAATAGATTACAGTTTACTATTAGTAAACATCATCCTTCTGTGTTGCTATAATAAATCTTGACAGAATACAGAACATCCGTGTGCGAAAATCATTACAAACTAGAAAATATTGTTAAATAACTATTAAATCTCGTGACTAGATGCGAAATTTAACATTGAAATTAACTCATTTTATGGCATGTTAGCTTTTTCGCAGATTTAACATTAATCGTATCCTACCGATGATGGTAATAAAAAAATTATGTGCTCGCGAATTAATTTTATCGAGAGTTAGGAATATTTTAATCTGTAACATTTTGTAATATTTTCATCATGTAACAAGGTGTGTTATATTTATAGTTCTGGAATTTTTTAGGCGGTGAACACTCGAGTAAAATGAAAAATGGCGGTGGTGGAAATAGTGATTTTATTGTGGACGTGGATCATATAGAAATTGGATTGAGGGATAACAGTAAGAAGACGGAAAGTTATAGTGATGTAGGTGTGCAGACTACGCATTTAGTGCCTTATAGGTAAGTATAAAAAAACAGTTGAATTGTTTTGCTTTCCAAGATTTTCCTAGATCTTTTAATTTTTATGATTTAGGGTCAATAGAACTTTATTATTTCATAAAATTCAAGGTGGCTGTGATATGTTTATCGTTAATTTATCAAAAATTAGAGGATATAGAATTACCGTTGAAACCAACAAGCATAATTTTATTGCTGCAACATTGCCAAACTTCGCAAAGCAAGGTATAACATTGATTTTTTCATTGCAGGGAGGTATATGCAAGCCATGCAAGGTGGCAGGGTAGCTTAATCTTCCGCCGAATAACATTGCAGTGCAAGGTTGAAATAAATAATGTTGATACAAGTTTACTGAAACCTTGTCACAACCTCGTGAGAACATTTCACAATATTATTGAAACGTTGCTAATGTAACGTTCAAGAAAGTACTAATTTGGGATATATTAACAATATTGTTAATTATACGTCAATATGAAATCTATATCTAATCGTTTGCAAGGTAGTAAAAATAAAAATCAGTTGTAATAAATATAACATGAGAAACGTACCTCTTGTATAATGTCCATTATTTTATTAATATCAAATGTTATAAATCATTAAAAGAATATTAAGAATAATGAATACTAAATATTATTTGTGATTTTATCATTAGATTAAGAATATATTTATCCTGGTTTTATCTATTTCAATTTTCAGTTGGTTAAAAGCTAACCTAAAATACAAAAATTTCCTTTAAAAACAATCTAAACACAATTTTTTATACTTATTCATGGCTAAGCATTATTAAAACATACAAATAATAAAATTATACTCACATTTATCATGATCACCTCATGATCATCATTCTCTGCTTAATCAACCTTTTCCAATTATAGCTGACCAATTATTGTTGGCTGTGCAGGTCCAAGTTATAGGTATATCCTTGCTAATTTTCTAATATTATAGTCCCATCCCAGGTTAAGCCTTCCTCTAGGTCTCTTAATTCTTCCTGGGTACCATGCTGTAATTTTTGTGGTCCATCTGTTGTTCATTCTTCTTGCCAGGTGTCCTGCCACTTGAGGGATTGACATACCTGGTTCTTTTATCGTATCCACTCTTTTCTTTTACGGTCTTTCTTGGTTATTCCCAGCATATTTCGTTCCATTGAGCATTGTGTGTCTAAGAAAATCTCAGAAAGCAAAACAATTCCATTTTTTTGTGACAGAATGTGACAAAAAATAGGTAGATGAAATAAAATGATCATGCTTTCCTTCTTGTTCACTGTATAAAATGATTCTCTTTTCAAAAGATCTTTTCACATTAAGCGGCAAATGTGGAGTTTCTATCATGTTGTCGCCAGTAGTTGGTCGAGTTTTGTAAACACTGCCAAGTTTATGAGAATTTTTTTCCTTTTAATGGATAAGTATGATCATTATGAAGTAATGTCAGCTATATTAGAGGATTAGAGGCACCTAAATTTTATCAAATAATAAAGATCTACTGACAAACATCATAAAATAATAGTATTTTGAAGACACATGAATTATCTATTGAATATCGAAATAATATACTGGGTGTTCCACTTAAAATAAAAGAGTACCTTGCTTATAAAAGTGGCCAATGTTTAATATTAATTTTGTCTCACTCTGTATAACCTTTCGAGTCAAGGTTTAATTCGATTTAAAGAAAAATGGTTATTTTAACTACATATTAAGCTATAGCGGGTAATTTACAATTTTAAGTAGCTTTTATTGAAATTTAAAATGTGCTCTTCATTTTTAAAAAATATCAAATATTTCAAAACCCCTACATTTTAGATATGTGTTTCTCTAATGAAACTCACCTCTATTTTTTCCTAAAATTCCAAAAATCAATTAATATACCGGGTGGTCCGAATTGTATTCCGGGAACTTCAGCAGCATATTCTGCAGATAAAATAAAGTAGAAAGTTCGTATAAATGAATGTCCTAAAAATGGTTTGATTCGGAGATACAGGGTGTAGATGTTTCATTTTTGTTTCGATTTTGTCCAAATAATTTCTGAAGTGACGTCAATATTTGGATGAAAATTGGTGTCTGGGGGTTTTTTGATATAAGAAATTTGATTTTGGTGTAAATATGACTCCTACTTGTAGAGGGGCCACCTACATGTGTTTTACATCAAAATCAAATTTATCATGTCAAAAAACTCCCAGATACCAATTTTCATCCAAATATTGATGTTACTTCATAAATTATTTGGAAAAAATCGAAATAAAAATGAAACTTCTACACCCTGTATTTCCGAAACTAATCATTTTAGGGCATACATTTATGAGAACTTTTTAGTTATTTTATCTGCAGAATATGCTGCCGAAGTTTTCCGGAATGCAGTTCGGACCAATTCTGTATAAGATGTTCGGTTACATAAAACACAAGTTTAATATGTAACTTTTTGGAGAAACCCTGCAGAACTCCATATATTTTTAAAAATGGCTGTAGATTATTTATTGTAGTAGGTATATAAATTGTAGTTCTCCTTGGAGCTTTCACGTGATATGAACGGTTTCACCCTGTATTTACTAGTTATCTACAATAATTTTTTCTTTACAGATTAAGATTTTGGCCTCGAACGGACTGTGATTTTAAAATAAGCCACTCGGATGCGAGTTGTATGCTGAAGTGCCATTGCTGTATGAAACTGGTCAGTCAGTGGATACTGTCCCAGGTTGGACTGACTATAATAGTGATTACTTGGGCCTTGTTAGGAGCATATGCCTTCTTCAAGACAGAAGGTACCGTTGTACAAATATAGGGAGAGACTTGGGGATAGCACCGGTCGCGTGTTATTTTATATTTCTCACGTCTCTAGCTATACTTGTTAAGTTGTAATACCACAGTAATACCATAAGAATAAATGCGATATCAACTAACTGAATACAAAGACTTGTATAGGAGTGTGTAGGAGTCTAAACATTTTTATATCAAAACATAAAAGTGTAAACACACTTTTATATTTTTATTGCTGTATAATTTTCTGTGAGTCCATACCGTAGTCAACTGAGATATAAATCAACTTGCTTGAAATTGTTTGTCCAATTATATGGTTTAATTAAAAAAAAGTTGAATATACGGGAAAGTTGAGTTATTGAATGTTATTGCACCCAACAACGCCCTAATTACGCTCTCCTTTACGCGTTAACATTTTTTCGGCAATTTTAGTAACATTTGAAATTGTCACGAGAAACACAATACGACGCCTAGTTCGAATTCTTTTTTACTTATTTTTTACTACCCGAAACAGCGTTACGGCGCTGCGGCGTGAAATACATACTAATAATTTCTGAATTCTGCCATTGAAGCGCTGCAGTCGGAATTTGTTGAAATCAACTGAAGTGCACCAAGCCATGCTATTTAATACTGTATGATCGAAGAAAAACACCGTCCAATTGGACTGTAGGGCTTGGAAATGAACATCGTTGACATTCCCCATATAATTTTATATAAAATGACAGCGTTCTTCATTTCATAGCCATCGCTGACGCCGTTTTTTTCGTATTGTACTAAGCATAACAAAATTTTTATATATTGTAAGTATGTTTTAATACCGATTTTGGCTGAAAAATCGATAGACGTAATTCAGGTAACAGTTTTGTGCCAAGGAACAAACATTAAAAGTGAACTTATTGCGGTTTGCGGTGATGTGTGGTAGGTATCACGAACTTTGCATGTCTCGAACTGTGTTTAAAGTTGGCTCTCGTTTCCTAAATGGCTTGAAACTCAATGTTTATTGCGTTTAACTTTTTTTGGGGGTTTTGGGTAATTTAAAACATGACTGATGTACTTGTTTGTCAGTTCGAAAACTGATTCATATTAATAAATTTATTTCTTACTCAATTAATATAAGCTTATATCGACTTGGTTACGCTAACCATAAATAGATCCATAACTCTCTTGGGATATTATTAACGGGGAATTAAGGTACAATAATTCCTTCTACATTTTATAGGTAACAACCATGAAATGTACCGGGTGGCCAACTAAGAATGGACGCCGGCTGTATCTCAGAAACTACTTATCGTATAACTTTGGGAAAAAAATTGTAATAAGTAAATCGGCCAAGAGAAATCGCTGGAAATTATTTCCAAGTTCGAAAAACGACCGCTAGGAGGTGCTTTTGTAATAGCCAATCAGGGTTTTTCTCAAAAATATGCAGGTGAAGAGGTATTTTAAATATTACTATTGTAATAATCGAGAAATTTATATTTTTTTTGTTATGGAGTATTTTGCTCTATCTCATAAAATAAAGTGGTGGGGGAAGGTTAAACTTGCTTTTATTAAAATAAAAAATAAAAATAATATTTTAATAAATGAACTATCCATACTTTCTAAGAGATAAATTGCCAATTTTGTTAGGGGATTTATCATGATGAAATTGCATTTGTTCCAATTTCATCAGCATGAATGCAGTTGGCGTAGTTGATGCAGTTGGCGCAGTTGTGCCGCTTATTTTACTATGAATGTGTGGGGCTTCTTAGATACCACTTACTTTAGTAGATAGAGGCGCTGGAGCAGCATATTTCCAGGGCTCAGTGCTAGGTCCTATTTTGTTTCTGTTGTTTATCAACGATATTGCTAGTCTGGACATCAGTGGTAAAATCTGTCTCTTCGCGGATGATACTTGTTTCACATGGAGCAGCTCGGACACCACGGCACTTCATAGAACCATTTCCAGTGACTTAATCAACATAAAAACATGGTGCGATTCTAATTATCTGTGTCTCAACGTCTCTAAAACTAAAGTCTTATCATATAAAAAGTACGTTGCTACCTTTTCAACTTGATAATACCACCATTGACGTCGTTGATTCTGTGAAATTTTTAGGCCTTGTTGTGGACAACTATTTAAAATGGGATTTGCACATCGATGCTTTAGCTAAAAAATTAAGTTCTGCCTGTTTCGCACTTAGATCAGTTGCTAATGTGCTTAATTTGTCAACATCTAGGACAGTCTATTATGCCCTTTTGAGTCGCATCTCCGATACGCACTTCCATTCTGGGGTGCGTGTTGTGCGACCTCAATTTGAGCGTATCTTCAAATTACAAAGAGAGCTGTGCGATATTCACTGAGGCTAACCAGTCGTGCTCACTGCCGGGACTTGTTTAAAAGATATAAAATATTAACTCTTCCTTCCCTATTCATACTCGAATCCGTCTGCCTAGTTCGCAAGCACGTATCGAGTATTTCTCTAGGCCAGTTCATGGCTATCCAATTAGGAACGCAGAGCATAACATGTATCTGCCAACCCCTCACTCTGAGTTAGTAAAGAGTTCCATATTGTACAATGCAAAAAAATGCACAATCATCTGCCATCTGAAATTAATTCCATTTCATCCTTTCCTGCATTTCGCAGAGCCTTGAGATCATACTTACTGGAGAAAGCCTTTTACACGGTTAACGATTTTTTATTAATAATCTAGGGTTCTAAATTTAACACACATTCACTAAATTTAAGAAATGATTTTGTTTTCTATCCATTTAAATTTAGTATTGACATTATATACAGTTGTTTATTTACATGTATGTTTATATTTTATTTATATTTAAGTAAATAAATTTTTGACAATGTACAATTTCTATAATTGTATAAAGTATTGTTTTAGTTTTGTATGTTTGCTGTTAGTTTTATATGTTTTTCTATTGTTAAGTGAAGTTTTGTATGTTTTTTATATTCTTTTTTTTTAAGCTTTGTCAACAAAACTGTAAAATTTTTTATGACAATAAAGCAATTTCTTTCTAGCCCGCTAGGTCATCGGATTCAATATGCCTGGGTTTTAATTTATGGGGTCGCCTCACGAACATAGATAAATAACAATTAAATGGTATTAAAATGAAATTAGAATTTATGTTTTGATATTTTGACGAAACCATTTTACCTCTTTTTGTTTCCTAGCCTACTACTATAATTTTTAGACCATATAATCCTTAGCGACAGCCTAACATGATTTGTTCTCTTAACATCACCGGTTAGAGAGAAGATGGAGAGTTGCGGTTTGCGCTGATATTTTGAAAATTTTGTGCTCTATTTAACTGTGTGTGAAAGAGAAATATAGCCTCCTATTTATTTTTTTATGCAAAAGCGCAATATCTGTTATGATGTCAAACAAGTGCCCTCTAGCTACCACGAAAAAGTCTATGGAAACAAAATTTATACTGAAGATAATTAAAGAAGAAAATGTCTTTTAAACGAGCCCTAGTTTGTTTAAATCGGCTAACCTAAACCAGAGTTATCCATATTTTAATAAAAACAAGTTTAACCTTCCCCCACCACTTTATTTTATGAGATAGAGCAAAATACATTATATAAAAAAAATTACAAATTTCTCGATGATTACAACAGTAATATTTAAAATACCTGTTCACCTGCCTATTTTTGAAAAAAAAACTGTTTTCTGATTGGCTATCAGAGAAACGCCCTCTAGCGGACATTTTTCGAATTTGAAAATAATTTCCAGCGATTTCTCTTGGTCGATTTACTTATTAGAATTTTTTTCCTAAAGTTGTACGGTAAGTAGTTTCTGAGATACAGCCAGCGTCCATTCTTAGTTGGCCACCCGGTACAATAGTGATTTTGAGTAATAATATAAAATGAAAATGGGCACTCATCTAACTACTCTAGTAATCTATTTACTTCATTAATGTCACATATAATAAATTTACCAGAGAACAGTTTGATCGACATCCCCTGGTACAATAATTTCCGCCCCAGCCACTGAAGGTATTTTTTATATTCCCTATATTAGGTAGAAGGTTCCTCAGGTTCCAGCCTAGCTTTCCCAAATAAAAAGTATCGCTTGCGATCCAGAGCCTCGCAGTGACTGATGTGCCTGACTGTCCAGAGCCTGATGTGCTCCGATGTTTCAGGATGCAGAGTCTGCAGCAAAGACTTCCTTGATACAGGTTGAGCTTAGAATAAGTGGGAGGGGGGTTAATCTCTGCGACCTTAGAGATCTATTGTGTCCCCCTTTCTTGAGTTACAACTCATCATACAGTCCCAGGACTTCATACGGAGACCCGTGTCCCTCACAGTCGAGGAGCTACGACTCAGGCCGGGTAGACGAAACGGTAGCTTGTGTCGCCTGTTGGGTTTAGAGGTAGGAGGTAGGCTCCCGACCCTTGGAGGAGGTGGTAGCTTGTATGCCACTTGCGGAGGATGGTCTCACGCAAGTGTCAGCCACCTCTCCTGTAGTTCTCTTTGGGTTTGGCCCCTTGGAACTTTCATTGTTACTGTTCCCAGTGTCGCTAGGGGTTTCCCCACAGCTTCACCGGTGATGTTTTTATTACTATTATTACCAGATCTCATAGTGTTCCTATGAGTCGCTAGGGACAGTCGGTCCACTTCTACAGAGCCCCGCATGTAGAAGTAAGTGGTAAAATACAATGGGGTGCCCCAAGGTTGAGGCTGTTCGTAGCCCCGCCCGGTATCGTTATATGTCTTGGTGCAATTCCCTGGCCACGACACTACAGTCAGGGACAAGACGATGAGTGAGATGCTTCTTAGACCAAGCCAAGTGCTAGAGGGGATTCCCCCCAGCACCTGACCAGGAGCTTTCCCACCAACGACAAGGTCTTGCATCTCCTAGGGGAAGCAGGTTGAGCTTATTCAGGTAACATTTGACAGTCATGTGTCCTGTCAAGAGGCCTATTGTAATCCGCACTTTATTCCTGCTAGGCATTAGCAGTTCTTTTGCGGTTTTAGAGCTAGCTCTTTGGATAAAGGCCTTGCTGTGCCTATGCCCCTGTCTATTTCTTCAGTGGACATTCTGCTTTTTCCTGATCCAGAGTTTTAGTGCACTACGGGCTATACATTTGGGTATTCCCAGAACGGGCTCTGGACCAAGATAGAATGCCGATGATCCTTGCCTAGCTAGCTCATCGGCTTTTTGGTTGCCTTGGATGCCGCTGTGGCCCGGCACCCAAAATAATTTAATTCTGTTCCTTCGTGCCAGAGCTCCCAGTTCACCTAGGCATTCCCAGACGAGTCTCGACGATACCTTTGGGCTCATAAGCGCCCCAAGTGCCGCCAGACTGTCTGAGCATATGTTTCAGCTCTTCTATTGCTAAGGACCCTCACCGCACTCTTCATAGGTTTGCTTCAAAATTTGGCTTGTTTGTTTAGTCTTTTTTATTGACTTATAGAAAAATTCCAGGAAAAAAATTTGTATAGTTTTTTAATGCATGTCTTCCGCGTCGTACATCGTACATGCGAGGACATATTTTTGTTTATTTATAGGTTTGGTATATGTACAAATTTCAGAGGCAATTACAAAATTTAATTAAAATCCTTTTATCCTGACACTCCTTTTAATTGTCTGTGTTAATTACGCATCATCCAAACCTGTCATGAATATAGTTTATCTACACCTACGAAAACGTCATAATAAAATAGTAATCGCATTTCTTGAGAATTGTTCTAAAATTATATCAAAAATATTGATTAACAGAGTGAAATGAAACAACAGATGATATTATTACATAGATTTTATTTCAATTTTAGTTACCTGTTATTAGATATAAATGTTTAATTTATGTATATATTGTCCAAGAATTGACTATAATTTGTTCATTTCCAATCGATTTGTTCTTTTTGTATAACGGGTGTTTTTCAAAAGTAGCTTACCCCTATATTTTCAGATAAAAAAACGGGATTTGGTATGTTAGTAAATGTCATAAATGACTGACGAATATATATGTCATAAATGAATGACGTATTCAATTAGTTTCGGTCACTTCCTGTTTCAGCAGAAATGACTACAACTTTTGATTTGGCACCGACTTAAAAAAGATAATATTTAAATTTCAATCTACAGTATGTCCCCGGATTGTCTCTACAAAAGGAAAAACTTTTTTATTATTGGCATTTTCAGAAAAATGCATTCTTCATAAAAATTGTTGCAGAAAGTTAAAAAAAAACATGAAAACACAGTTGATTTTTTTCTGCTAAAAAAATGAACTGTGTAAAAAGTCTTAAAAATCAAAAAGTGTTTCTATGGTAATATTATTTCGATTTCATATGGATTTCATTCGCTTTGACAGATTTCATAGAATTTTAATTAGCGTCATATTTATTGCTGTTTTAAAATGTAAAATTTAAGTAAAATATAAAATTTATTTAGATCGTTTCTACGGAAAGGGTGATAAGTTTATTATATTTTTTTATTATAACTAAGTTATTATAAATAGCTATTATAACTAAATAAGATATTATAACAGTAAAAAATAAGATGTTAAAGAATGAAATATAAATGATATCGCCATAGAAACGCGTTTTGACCTTTAGGACTTAAAAAAATTCTATAACTATAACTATATTTATCTACGACAGTGAGTTAAGAAGCTCTTAACTCACGCATTTTCATTACCGCACTCCTTGTTTAGATGACTACCAAAGAGAAAAAATATTTTGTAAAACATTTATTTTGAACTAAATTGGAAAAATATGTTATGAGTACCTTTTCATTTCCATAGTTGTGTACTTTCTTTTCGATACACCATTTTTCATACTTAGAGTATGTATATTCATACTTCTGTTTCGATCTTGCTGGATACGAAATAATATACATGTACTGATTTCTTTCGAAAATCTACAACTATGAAACTATGATCCCTTCCCCGACACAAACGGTATATTGTGAGACAGAAAATTGTAGAGAGAAACAAGCCCTATAACATAGGATACAACATTTTAATGAACAGTGCTTTTCATAAAATCAATAAAATGAAAAATATACGAAATAATATACATGTACTGATTTCTTTCGAAAATCGACAACTATGAAACTATGAATCCTTCCCGGACACAAACGGTACATTGTAAGACAGGAAATTGTAGAGCGAAACAAGCCCTATAACATAGGATAGAACATTTTAATGAACAGTGCTTTTCATAAAATCAATAAAATGAAAAATATACGAAATAATATACATGCACTGATTTCTGTCGAAAATCGACAACTATGAAACTATGATCCCTTCCCGGACACAAACGGTATATTGTGAGACAGGAAACACGCCCTATAACAAGCCCTATAACATAGGATACAACATTTTAATGAACAGTGCTTTCCATAAAATGAATAAAATGAAAAATAAATAGATGAGATCAATGTGTTGCCGACAGATTGCCCTAGACTTGTTTATTCGGTGCGGCCAACGCAAAAAAGACGCTAAGCAAACTTTATCCTATGATGTATGTTTAAGTATTTGTTTATTAACAAGAAAGCGTATCGGTTTTTTGTTACAAAGTACTAATTGACACTTTGATTTTGCGCCCACAAAATGTTGCGCCTACGTGCGTGCACGCACTGCACGCTCGCCAGGAACGGCCCTGCATTTATAAATGTATATGTCATTCTATCCAGAATGTCATTTTCTATGAAATAAGATAAAAAATACCAAAAAAAAATCCGAGGGTACCATTTAAATTACCAAATTTCATTTTTTTTATCTCAAAAAAATAAAAAAGCTATAGGGATGAGCCACTTTTGCCCCCGGTATTATGATAATTACTTATTAAAAATACAATGACTTCTAAAATAAATTAACTAAGTGAAATAAAGTCGTTATAATGTCTGAGGAACTGTCACCCAAGTTTGTAACTATACATTTTCGTTCATTATCTTATTCTGCACGCACTAGAACATTAACAATTTTCTAAGAAAACTACATTATCTTGAACAGAATTATGTCCAGCATTTAATTAATATCTTTCTAGAACTTTATTTTGTGTTTTTAGCGCATTTAGTATAATTAATTAGAGAACTTGAGAGCTATTTGCAGTTATTTGAAGGAAAATATATTATCTTGATGGGAATTATGGCAAAAATAAGTGTTTTTCTAAACCTATTTTATGTTTTTAATGTTTCTTTTATGTTTTACGTTAGGACATTTTAGATCTTAACACATATAATTAGCATCGATCCAACTAATCTAATACACGATCTTTTCTTCTGTTAATTTCTTTCTATATATTTTTAGTTTAATTTACCTCACGTTTCATAGTTTGGTTAATTAGTTTTTAATATACTGTTTTTTTAAACCCCTCTAACTTTATTTTATAATACATCGTAGTAATGTTTTAAATGATTTTTGATGAGCAATATTTTCAAGTTTTTTAAGTTGGAAGTGTTGCAACTACTTATAATAAAATCCCGTACCTCTACAGGGTGTTTAAAAAACATATGCCATCTCACGTGATTTATTTTTATACCAACATAGGCTGTAGTTTTTAAGCTACAGAAGATTAAATTCTTCATTTTTTTTATTTAGTATAATTTTCTTCCAAGTGATTCTAGTGATTTGAATAAAATTTTGAGGGTAAAATAAGTTACTATAATATTTTTACTAAAAAAATGTCGACATATTCACCAATAGTACATATTATATAGTGAGTCCTCCAGTAGTAATTGTAGTAACCCAGGGATATGGGTTAAATTATAACTGGAAAATAAAATATGTGCGCCACTGATTTTTTTCTCTTGTTTTTCTCTCTCTATCTCGAATAAGAACAGACTATCTAAAGTAAATACCTAATATAGTTTTGATTTCAGGACAGTTCTTGTATTTTTAATAATTTTTTTAAGAAGGGCTGAAAAATACATATTTTTTATTTATTTTTTAATATCTCTGAAACTATCAAAATATATTTATTCATATCTTAGGGTTATGTAAAGTGATCTGAAAGGAAACCAAAAATGCAATAATATACAGGGTATTCCATTTAAAAAAAATCATCAAGGTCCACTCACACTTTTTGGAGCCACCCTATAGAAGTTAAAATATTTTCTTGAAATACATCCTGGCACATACTTTAGGTTCGCACTTAAACAAAATTCTCAAGTTTTTTATTCTAGGAGTTACAGATGCCCGACGCACTATTGCCGGACCCTGTATATTCAAGCGGAGAATCGATTGAAACAGTCATTAACTACGATTTCTGTTAGTGACTTTTGGCAGCAATAGAACGATTTATTTTTCACCCCCGAGAAGGTGGTAGTCATCCTTAGGGTGAAAGCACACAACGCTACTATGTACCTTTTGTTTCTTACATATATCTCTATTCACTGTTAAAATTTCACGTCAATCGGTGCGGGTGTTAAGAATTCGGAGGTAATACCCTATTTTTATCCTCGCTTACTGGCCTAAAGTTAGCGCTTGTTAAAGGTTAAAAATAAAAAATAAATAATAAATCAGCCATAATTCTCTGAAGTTCATCTCGTTCCAGGTCCAAGAGAGTTGAAACAAAGCGAGACCCTGGCCAAGATCCAGAAAGATCTATCTCATTCCCTCGCCACCGAGCTACATCAGACCGAGGACCATCTGGAAACCTGGCCCAAGATCATCCACAAGTACTTCGAGAAGCACGAGACGCTCTTCCTGGAAGCAGTGGGCGCGGGCTTCGGTGAAGGGGGCGGGGGGAACATCTGGACCTATCCAGGCTGTATACTGTTCAGCGTGTCGCTGCTGACTACCTTAGGTAAATACAATGTCACAGATAGTCTAGACTTCTAATTACAAAATTCACTATAAGACTATCTATCAGACTAACTGTTAGACTAGCTATAAGACTAACTGGGCTATCTTCTGTATACTCTCTTATCGTCTTGTCATAGCTGCAAGTCATCGGCGGTTACGTAATTAAACAGTTTCATGTAGACATATATAAACTTACGTGCATAGAAATCGGCCCACTGTGAACTTTTGGTTTTAACTGTGTCTTTTAGAATCTATCTATCAGAGCAAGTAAAAAATATGAGCTGTTTCAAAGACAATTTAATATGAGCATAGATTTATAAAGGGTATTTATCGTTTATATGCGTACCAATGGGCAAACAAATAAAGGTATTTGAGTTGTGGTGACAATAAGAATAATAAACTTGTCAAATATTGCAGTTACTGCCTTTGTAATCGAAATTTTCACATTGTTCTTTTATTCTTTGATTAGTTGTGTTTCATTGTTTGATTAGTGTTTCAATTTAATGCATACAACACCGGAAAAAGCCGCCCAAGTAATCGCTTTAATCGAAAATGGACTTAAACAGAGAGCTGTAGCTCGGCAACTACATATGACACGTGGAGCGGTTCGAAGAGTGTATGAACGGTATGAGGAGACTCGATCCTTTCGTAGTCGACCTGAAACTGGTAGAACGAGATATACAACGAATCGTAATGACCGCTTTATTGTGTCAACCATCTTAAGAAATCGGCGTGTTAATGCTATTCAGGTGCAACAACAGCTCCGTGAAACACGAGGAGTGGCTATTAGTCAGTGGACAGTAAGACGAAGATTGAAGGAAAGTAACATGACCCCCAAAACACCCGCAATTGGTCCAAAACTTACCCCAGTTTATCGTCAAGCACGCCTGCGTTTTGCACTGGAACATCTGAATTGGACACTAGAACAATGGGAATCTGTTTTATTCTCAGATGAGACCAAGATATGCCTCTATGGTAGCGACCAGAGAAGAAAAGTGTACCGGAGGCCAGCTGAGCGATTCGCAGAATGCTGCAATGAGGAGCGGATTGCTTATGGAGGTGGTTCCTGCATGATATGGGATGCAATTTCTATGACTGCGCGAACCGACTCAGTTTTCATTCGTTGGGGCGACCGTCGGCACAGGAGAGGAGGTTTAACTGGTGCTAGGTATATTGAGGAGATTTTAGCAGTTCATGTGGTACCTTAGGTCGGCTACATTGGAAACGAATTCGCTTTTATGCATGACAATGCGAGGGCACACACATAAAGAATCGTACACGATTACATTTCAGAAGTCAGATTTCGGGTTATGGAATGGCCAGCATGCAGTCCAGACTTAAACCCGATAGAACATTTATGGGATGAGCTAAAACGAAGAATTCGTACTAGACGAAGAGCCCCAACTTCTATCCCAGAGCTCACTGTTGCAATAGAGGTGGCTTAACATCCCACAAGAAACAATATCAAATTTGATCGAATCTTTGCCAAATCGTATGAAAGATGTTGTTAGAGCAAGAGGGGGTCATACCCATTATTGAAAATTTAGTTTAATTAATTGTCCATAAATAAATAAATAAATAATAACATACTTCTTAGTAATAAAAAATGATAATTGTTTCATGCATTAATTTACTAATTTTAATCCAAAGAAACGAAAATACAAATTAATATCTCTAAACGCTTTTCAAAGAACATGAAATTGTCTATCAAACAGCATGTATTTTTTTCTTAATCTGACAAATAGATTCCAAAAATTATATAGTTAACTTCAAAAGTTTGCCTTGGGCCGATTTCTATGCACGCAAGTGTAGTTCATATATCAAATAACTAACCTAACCTAACTTTTAGTCACGTGAAAGTCCATTTTTACATATTTTCTTTTAATCAAAATATTTCAGGAAACAAAAATAAATTAATTATGATAATTGTATACCAAAATAAGCTTTTTGATGCATGGAAGACGTGTATCAAATGTACCATCAGAGATATTTTGGAAAAAAACTGAAAATTTTACCACCCTTTATCTAAAAAGTTAAGATGTTTAGGACATATATTCATATGAAGTTTTCTTCTTAGAATAGGTCCAAAAATCACCCCCTTAAATATTAGCAGGTCATTTACGAACACCCTGTATGCTATATCCTAAATTAAAGTTATCTCTATTATCTGTTTTCCAGGTTTCGGAGCTCCGGTACCCCGCACTCCCCTAGGCCGAGGCACTGCTGTCTTCTTCGCCCTCGTTGGCATCCCTCTACACTTCCTACTTGTCCTCAACGTAGGCAACCTCACGGCCGTAAAGATGCAACGCCTCGCCTTCCGGGCCACGCCCACCGACGTACCCGCGGTACTTCCCCGGCCGCGCTGGCTCAAAATATTCCCCTTCATTTGCATCCTGATTTTCTACCTGATTGGCGTGGTTTGCTTTGGTTTTGTAAGAGGCAGGGACGCACTACACTCCTTCATGTTTCCTCTGGACTTCACGGCAAGCGGAGGCGTGGCTAACGTGGCGGGCGTGGTCAGGATTTGTTACGCCATCTATCTGGAAGTTGCTGTAACTTTAGCTGCGTTTGCTTTGAGTTTAATACAGGCATCAGCTGGGAAAGGGATAGTGGATATAGGTTTAAAATGGGAATTGCTTACTAATACCTGAACTGGATTAAGAAGATGAAATATGGGATTCTGTAACGCACATATCAATAAGAAAATATTCCGAGCCAAGTATGTCTCATGAATTTTCGAGTTGTTTTTCGTTTGCTACAAGTTTTGGATTGTTATCAGAATTATTAAACTATGCAGATTTTATGACAATTGTTGATAAGTCAGAGAAATTTATAAGAATTGTACTAGCTTATTGCGCTTGTTAGATTTAAAGAAGCTTTAGAAATTGTTAAAAATTAAAATAATTTATACCGGGTGCGTCTCAAAAGTGGCTATACCTCTATAACTTTTTTTATTTTTTCAAATAAAAAAACAAGATTTCATATATTTTTTTCTGTTAGTATATGACATGAATTAGAATTGATTGACGTATTCAATTCTTTTCGACCACTTCCTGTTGTAGTCACTGGAAATGAATACAATTTTTGATTTTTAAATGGCACCCATGGTATTTCTTACTTTATTCGATAGAAAATGACATTCTGTATAGAATGACATATCATATGTCAACTTTTGACTTTTTTGCTTAAAACAGGATTGAATATTAAATTTCAATCTAGAGTGCCATGGCTGTGTTAAAACACTTTTATTCTTAATCAAGGAACCTTAAAAAATAGATTTGATCATCTAATGTTATTCGTGTTTTGGCTTGACCGGTTAAAAGATGCCCAAATCGTATTTTTAATCATATCTCAATTTTTTTTGAAAAAGCATTTTTTACAAATAATTTGGTACCACACGCTTGGTAGGTATTTCGAGTCAAATTGTCGTTATGGTCCGCATGTTACAATTTCAAATAAACCACATAAGAAAACGTCAAAAGTTGACTTATGATATGTCATTCTACTCAAAGTGTCATTTTCTATAGAATTAAGTAAAAAAATACCAAGTGTGTCATTTAAAAATCAAAAGTTGTTGTCATTTTCGATGAAACAGGAAGTGACCGAAAACAATTGAATACTTCAATCAATCCTAATTTATGTCATATACTAACATACCAGATCTTGATTTTTTATTAGAAAAAATAAAAAAGTTTTAGGGGTGAGCCACTTTTGAGACGCACCCGGTATATGTATACAAAGATTAAATTGTATGTAGCAAAAATTAGTAGGAATTTACAAGAATTAGTAGGTTTTTTTAAATTAAAAATTAAGACTAAAATATATACCAAAATATCAAAAAATTTTCTACTTCTTATAATACCTACAAATCTAAAAAATTAGTATCTATAATATTTTCAATATTCAATTCGTAAAAAGGCTCTCTATAAATTAATATATTTAACTAAATACCCTTGTATATGTATAAGAAGGCTAATACTTGCATTTTGCATTTCGATAATAAAAATAATATTAAATCAAACTGATTTATGGATTTTTGGAGTGTGCTTCTCTTAAAAAATGTCGAGAAATTGTTAGGTTAAAATTAAATTGAATTTCTGATAAAACCATAAATTAATTCTCAAAAAACATTACCTATACAAAATAATAATAGAAGAATCTACCAAAATTATTATAGTCTGCACAGGGTGTCCCAATTTCGAGTGTTTCATGGGGCTTTGTCGTTTATGTGTAGAGATACAAAGATGGGGTTATACATTATGAAACTAAAGATGCTATACTAAAGAGTTTTTCACTTAGAGTCTCTACGGAACTCAGTAGTCACCTTTTCGATAAGTTATAAGATAATCGAAATACAAAGGCAAAATTTTCAAATTCTAATCTCCTATTTGAGGCATATGATCAAAAACTAAAGTTTTGTCACATAAAAGTACTATACAACCTTTTGTACTTAAAAATACCACTATTGACGTCGTGGACTCTTTGAAATTCTTAGGGCTTGTTGTAGACAACTCGTTAAAACACAACTCTTGCACATCGAAGCTTTATCAAAAAAACTAAGCGCTGCTTATTGTTTTGCGCTAAGATCAGTTTCTAAGGAACTTAACTTATCAACCTTTAGAATAGCCTATTATTCCCTTTTTGAGTCACATCTTCGTTATGCCCTTCCATTCTGGGGTACTTACTTCGCAACAAAATTTGATCATATTTTCAAACTTCAAAAGAGAGCAGTTCGATATTTATTGGGACTGAACAGTCGAAACTCACTGTCAGAATTTCTTTAAAAATTTCAAAATACGGACTCTTCCTTCTTTATTCATTTTTGAATCCGTTTGCTTAATCCGCAAGCACATGTTATCTGCTATTCCCGAAAGGCCATCTCACAACTATCCACTTAGGAATGCGGAGCACGATCTTTATCTCACAATCCCGAGCTCAGAACTAGTTAAAGGCTCAATACTATACAATGCCAAAAAAATGTACAATCATCTGTCTTTGAATATCAAGTCGCTTTCATTCTTTCCCGCATTTCGCAAAGCTCTGAAATCCTACTTACTGGAGAGAGCCCTATATGCGGTAAACGACTTTTTTGTTGATGTTTAAACATGAACAATTTTGATTTTTAAAATTTTGATCATCTCACACACTGGTTAAAAGTCTAGTATTTAATATATTTTATATCTCTTAAATTATTATATCCATTTACAATTTTCCTATTGTAAAATTTTATTGATACGTTTTTTTGTGTTCTGAATGGCCCATGTATGTTCTATTTGTAATTTTAATGACGTAAATTTTGTTGAATTGTAAGATTTGTATTGTATGATAGTTTTTATTATTTGTACATTTTTTGTGCTTTTGTTTGTTTTGTAAATGCTTTGTTGATGAAGATATTTTGGCTTTTTGTATAATAAAGCGTTATTTATTATTATTATTCGTCCTGTATTTCAGGAACTAAGAGGGCTAGGACAAATCTGTATCTAGTATCATTAATTTAAAAAAAAATGTAAAGTAGCACAGTGATGTGAGTACCGAATCTTTGTATCTTTATTCGTAAACGAGAAACCCCATGAAATACACGAAAATGGGATACCCTGTACAACGATCGTTCAACGTTACGTCATCGTGATTTCTTCTTCTTCTTATCACGCCCTCTCCTGCCGAAGATTGGCGATCCAAATGGCAATTGTGGCTCTGGAAACTGCAGCCCGGAAGATTTCCGCAGACAACCATCTTCCGCAGACAACCAGATTTCCGCGTTCAAACCATCTCCTCAAATCTTTTGCCCATGAGTTCTGGCGTCTTCCCACTGATCTTTTCCCTTGCACTTTGCCCTCTATTATAAGGCGCAGTATTTCGTATCTACCACCTCTCATCACATGACCCAGGTATTGCATTTTTCTTTCCTTGATTGTGTTCAGTATCTCTTTTTGTTTCTGCATGCGCTGGAGTACTTCATTGTTGGCGATCCTTTGTACCCATAAGATTTGCAGCATCCCTCTGTATATATACATTTCGAAGGCTTCTATTCTCTTCTCGGTCTGTGAATCCAGTGTCCAGCTCTCACATCCATAGAGTAACACAGAGAAGACGTAGCATCTGGCCATTCGAGTTCTGAGATCCGCACTGAGGTCTCTTCTTGTAAAAAATGATTTCATTCTCACGAAGATTTTTCTCGCTTGCTCAATTCTTGAAAATATTTCTCTTTTCGGGTCGCACTGACTATTGATGTTAGCTCCTAAATACTTTATTGAGGTCACTTGTTCGATTGTTTGTCCCTTGACACGCTAGATATTAGTTAAATCGTAATAACTAATAGATATTAGTTAAATCGTGATTTAACTAATATCTATTTAGGGTGTGTCTGAGATATATGGTTTAGAAAATTACAAGTACGTTCCAAAATTCGTAATTGCGCCTTTGGTTGTGTCTTGATTTATAATTTTAGACGCACATACAACTTTTAGTAACACACGGATTTAAATTATGTTTGACAGAGCATATTTTATCCCGCATTCACGTGAAAGAAAGAGTACGAAAATGTGTGACGTAACAGTGAACGATAGTTATATAAACTTCATCAAAGTTCCTATACTTCTGTTACCTTTATATGGGCATAGCAATGCAGGTCCTAGTGAATTCCAGAATTGTAACAAGAAACGAAGAATAGAAAGGAATTATTATACACCAGAAAAAGAATGGGAGGCCAATTAAAGTCTGTTTGAATCTGGCAACTGTGCATTTTTAGCCGAGCTTCAAGGCCGTCGACGTGCCGTCGATCTACGTCGATCCAAAACCGAAAGTTGAAAATTATTAAATTATATTCTGATTATCATATTGTCGCGCCATCTAGTATTTTATTTGTGCAATTTTAGCTCTTTCATTTCGAGTATTTTTCTGTTGCGTAGCTAGATATTCTGTGCTGGTAGATATCGATAAAAAAATATATTTTCTCTTTACCGTTTTTCAAGTAAATAGAAATAACCCTTTATTTAGATGTCTATGCAAATAACCAATATATTTTATTTTGAAAATTAAGAAAAAATATATTTGGCTTAAATTTTGAGAACCACTGAACCTTTTTTGGATTTTCTTATCTTTCTACTATCTATGTTGCCATATTATGAAGATATTATGTTTTTAAGTAAAAATCAAACATTTTTTTTCAAAAATTCCAAATTTTCAGTTTTTTTTTCGCGAAAAAAAACTCATAGACGTATACCTGGGGTCGAAATATACTACTACCCCTAAAAATATTTGCACTTATTTAAGACTCACCCTGTATGTGAGTTTTACTTGATGGATTTGTTCTGTTATCCTTGGTCTTTAGTAAAATATAGCTAAGTATTAATAAAGTTAGATTTATGCCAGCGTTTCCACTTTTCAGATACTTATCCCATTTTTAACCAAAGTTTCAGTAAATAAGAGGTAACACGGCAACACCGCATAGTGCTACAAATAAAATGTGCACTGTATTAGAGAATTTTGTATTGAATCCAATTCTGTCCAGAAAAATAGGGTTTGCAATTAAAAAAAACTTAAGAACCATTACATTTTCTGTAACACAAAAATGTAATGATTTTTTGATACACCTCTTTTTATATCTTCGTGAACAACGCCAACTTCCTCGTACTACTGGGCCACCCTGTATGTATGATAAAAATTAAAAAGGACAATAAAAATTATTAAACTATATTTACTATGGTTTTTACCAAAGAAATTGTTAACAAAAATTAAAAGGAACAAAACTGAATAACAATATATTACAATAATAATATACCTATATATCTGCACTGTCAAAGCTTGTATTTTATTCTTAACATGTTTATAACCCTTTTGCGGAAATATTAAAACTTGACTTTGAACAACTGGTCGTTTTTTTGGCCTAATTTTGATTTCTTAATTTTTCGTTTTCTAGATCACTTTCGTCTCCTGCTTTTTCTTTATTTTTCTCTTTTACCTCCTTTCCCCTATTTTTATCAATGTCGTTATTTAAATTTGTAGATGTGACAGAAGGTGAAGAGGCGGTGTGCTTACCTTCCAGAGCTACCTTGATAGCTTCTAATAAGTCTTGTTTCCCCGATGTAGCGAACGCTTTCTTACCTGAAATCAATAAAGGTTCATAGAAAAATACAAATATATTAGACTAATTAAAAGACTATATTGCTAGTACCGCATTTACATAATGGGTGGAAAGTGTAGCCAAAGAAACAGGAATATCAATATTGCATAAGTCTATCCTTTTGGTTCAACAGGATTTTCGTGCGCACGCGCCGAATATAACGATCTGATTCAGAACAGTCAGACGCTAAATTGATTTAGGTGGTAGATAGAAACTCAGAAAACTACTTCTATTGGTTAGCATAAAATAAATCAACTAATCGCGAAGCACTTTTCACGCTTGCGTAGTTCAAAGCTGTCGAACGAAAAGGACCGACCTATTGTAATAGCAAAACATTTTCCGATGCACGTCATCAATCATATCGACATTGACATTGACAAGTCTATAAATCTGACTAAATGATTACACAAGTATACACGGTTTTGGACCTGAGCAACTAAAAGCAATTTCTAACATAATTTTTGGAGCTGAATCTAAATCAGCAGTCCATTTTTTAAGATTGGTTCTAGTTTTCGAAATATTCAATAAATTCATTATTTTACTATTTTTGACCGTTAACGGTCATTTATTGAATTAAACAATATAAATCAGAAATGAACAGAGGTTGAACTGAGTCTCTTATACTGCTTGGGATCTGTTTCACGGATTAGGGCCCAACAGTAATTGCTCATCATGCCTTCGTCCCAAAATCCTTGGTATCGCCTTTCGATTTTCGCTAGATCTTGGTGTAGCCGCTCTCCTTGCTCGTCGCTAGTGTCGCCTAAGTTTTGTGGAAAAAAACTCAAGATGTGAATGCAGAAAATGTATCTTGAGAGGCATTCGCGCTCCAATCTTGTGGTAATTTTCCAACAAATTGTCGATTACTTGCTTGTAATCCGGTGATTTATGATTACAGAGAATGTTGTGAACAACATTTTGAAACGATGCCCATGCTGCTGCCTCATCAAGCGTTAAACATTTTGTAAACGTTGCGTCAGCCATTAGTTTTCGAATATAATGTCCGATAAATATTCCTTCTTTGATTTTTACGTATGACAGTTTTGGAAACAACTTGGTTAAGTACTGGAAAGCCGGTCCTTCGCGATTGTGCGCTTTGACAAAGTTCTTAATAAGGCCAAGTTTAATGTGAAGAGGTGGCAGTAAAACGTCCTGTAGGTTTACAAGTGGTATCAACGTCGTCAACTGACCGTGCGTCAACTACCCGGGCCGTTATAAGAGCGCAGTGCTACTGCCATGCGCGAACTCGAAAACTAGAGCCAATCTTGACAAACGGATTGAAGATCTGATTTCAGGGCATCAAATAACGTCATTAATCGTTCTCATCTGCTCGGGTCCAAAAGTTGACCCGAATTTGTAAACTTGTGTTATTTGTCAAAAAATACTTAAATTTGTTGTATAATTTAAGATACCGAGCAGCTCTTCATTTTACTTTATAGAGCAAATTATTGTAACAAATATATTATTCAGATTAAAGCTGCAAACATTAGTTTAAACCGAATTTTATTATCGCTATGTTGGTCACATTGCGCCGTTTTCAGCAACGTTTCGATTATTATTTGACAATTATCCTAATGTCAGTTACTATTTTGTATAATATTGTGTTGTTGTTGAATTTTTGTGAGTAATTCTCGTTTTTTTGCCTATTTTCATAGTTTTTTTTTAAAAAATTGTACTTTTAAGCACAAACAGTTCTTTTAAGAACAAAATTTTCGATTTCTTGTATTGCATTTTTTAAAATTTGTGTGTTGAAAATATGCCGAAGCATTTAAACAGTCGAAGCATGACCGTTCCTGGCGAGCGTGCAGTGCGTGCACGCACGTAGGCGCAACATTTTGGAGGCGCAAAATCGAAGTGTCAATCAGTACTTTGTAACAAAAAACCGATACGCTTTCTTGTTAATAAACAAACACTTAAACATACATCATAGGATGGCAATCTGTCGGCAACACATTGATCTCATCTATTTATTTTTCATTTTATTGATTTTATGGAAAGCACTGTTCATTAAAATGTTGTATCCTATGTTATAGGACTTGTTTCTCTCTACAATTTCCTGTCTCACAATGTACCGTTTGTGTCGGGGAAGGGATCATAGTTTCATAGTTGTCGATTTTCGAAAGAAATCAGTACATGTATATTATTTCGTATATTTTTCATTTTATTGATTTTATGGAAAGCACTGTTCATTAAAATGTTGTATCCTATGTTATAGGGCTTGTTTCTCTCTACAATTTCCTGTCTCACAATGTACCGTTTGTGTCCGGGAAGGGTTCATAGTTTCATAGTTGTCGATTTTCGAAAGAAATCAGTACATGCATATTATTTCCGATTTTTAGTTTATTGTTTTTATGTATTTCATATAAAATGGGTCAGTTTTTTTCGTTAGGGTATTATTTTTGTTACTAAATATTTTTTGTTTGTTTTCTTTAATTAATAAATGTTTTTATACTTTACTTAGAATAGTTTTTTTACATTTCCAATTACATATTGCTCGTTTGTCGCAGAATATAAATTCTTTAAATTTTTGAGATTAAGATTAAAATATATAATTGATTTAAATATAAAAAGGGCGCACCAAAGAATGCTGCACCTAGGCGCCAGATACCCCAGGAACGGGCCTGAGTCGAAGCAAAGAGCTTGTAGCTTCCCTGATAAACTATTTTGAACGAGAACGTGACAATAAAGGTCCTTGACTGAAGTCAGAAAAGTAAGTTTGATTGATAAGCACATTACACATTATTACATTATTTCTACGTTAGTTTTTATTAAATTCTGTGATTATTAGAGTGTGCATTAATAGCGCCCTCTTGTTATTACCACTTATGAAGTTGTAAGATGTACATCAATCAATAAATAAATAAATAACCCATAATAACGCTTAGAATAATCTTCATAATGGACTAATTTTTGCCAATATGTATCAAGTAAAATAAGCTATAAAACAAATAAATCAATTAATTACTAAAGTATTAGTAAATTAAAAATAAAACGTAAAAATCTTTTAAAAATGGTATAATAAATATATTGTTCGTCACTTTTAAATTAAGATTCATCTCATAAATCCATCACAATCTGGCAGCGTTGTCGCCATCGCTTGTCACTCAAAGTTGATCACGTGCATCGGAAATTGTTTTGCGATTACCATATCTGGATTTTGTATACCTCCATCTCAAAAATTTGGCTTTAATTTCTGTTCCTCACTAGCAATATATAGTCTTATGATATATTTGTTAAATACAAACCACAAAGATTTGGAATGTCAAGGCGGGTTTACAAAAATAAAAAAAGCAAAAGTAAAGGCCTCTAAAATTGAAATAAGTTATATATTTCTTATAATACAGACAACATTCAACAAAAATATAATCTTCAAGATTATACCATAGTTCCTAGTTTTATATCACGATTCGCGCAAAAAATAATCACAATTTTTGCCTAAAATTATCGTTTATTTAAAAAAATCTACGTATTTTAGCCGAATATCGCGTTCTTTATCCTTTTAAGAAATCCCTCTTTCTCTTCTGACTGACTGGATTGAGCTTCGGAACCGGAATAGGGCATATCGTTTGGTCCTTTAGTCCCTGTCAAAGAAAAAGTGGTTTTAGTCAATTTTCTGATTTATGTTTTGTGAGAAAAATGTTAAATGTATGTTTTAGACAGAGACAAAGGACCGAAACTGTGAAAAAAAAATATAAAAAATTCAAATGTCTACAGACATTAAAGCTGTACGCACACTGGTGCGATCACGACCGCGATCACGATCTCAACGCGGCCGCGGCCAAAAGTTGCTGAAGAATACATATGGGCCGTTTCACATTGGCGCGATCGAGTTTTGGAGACGAACCGGCCTGGCGGCGTTCTATTCTGCGGTGGCGATCAGATTCAACTTGTCGAGTTTGATCGCGTGATCGCGACCCAACTGATAGGAATTTTCCGTTATTTTGTGTGTTTTTTCTTGTTGCAATTTAGAAATGGAGTTAACAGAGAGTAGCTAACTAAGGCTGTAAAAATACACCAAATTATATATGATTTATCCGATCCAAGTTATAAAAATAATAGAATTAAAAATAAAAAGTTTGAGACAAAATTGAAGTTGCAATTGGATTGGATAGTACAAATGTATACATTTTTATTGTTTAAGTTTAAATATTGTAGGTAAATATTTAAGAATGATTTTTTTCCGGTATATATAATTCACATTTTTAATTTGTATCTATGTATACTTACAGGATGGCGCAGTACATATAGGTACGGCCGTGAACGTGAACGCGTTGGTGTGTGCTAGAATGATCGCTCATGTTATCGCTGCCCTGATCGTGATCGTGATCGCGGCCGTGATCGCACCAGTGTGCGTGTAGCTTAAGTGTCAAATTCAACGAGTGTATGTACGAGTGTTGCTCGATATATAATTACTTAAAAGGTATTACTTTTTTATATTACTTGCAACGTTCAAAAAATTGTTTAAAAAATTATTTGTGACGTTTGAAAAAAATTGCATGTTCTATTCTGAGTAAAAATGTACTTTTTGTACCTCGCTTGTAGCGTCTGTCAAACTGTCAAACATACAGCCTCGTCATAAAAAGTATCATTTTTACTCCTAATAAAACAATATACTATTCCGTGCACTTTATTGTCGATATGCCTAAATAAAATTAATTTTTATATTTCCAATGCTCTAATTTCTATTTTACAATGCAAACAGTCAGAAGATCTATATGAGGCATTTTCAGGAATAAAGCTTCATTCAGAACCTCGTAATTAGTGAAATAAATTAGAGGTTTCAGTTAGCGTAGAAGTTTGTTCCTCTACTTTCAATATAAGCATTCAGAACATCAAACTTAATGGTAGTAATTTTCAATTAGTAAGCTTCTTTCAGAACCTCGCAATTAGTGGAATAAATTAATGGTTTCAATTACACTTTAAACTTTTTAGTTTACGATCATTCGCAATATTTAAAAAACACAATTAAAATTAATAGAATATC